GAATTTCTTACCCAGTTTTCATTTTCCTGTGTTGCTGCTTACTTTCATTTTTTTGACTTGACTCATTTGCATGTTTATATCCTCTTTGAAGTAGGTTTTTGAAACGTTTTACAAAATTCTATTTATAGTGGGTGTCTGCACACAGACACATGGGTCTCATGGCATATGTATAGAGGTCAGAGGTCAACTCGAGGGAGTCAATTTTCCTCTTCTACTAAGTCTGGTGAATTTGAACTCAGGTCATCAGGCTGAGTGCCATTCCCTGCTGAGCCGCCTCCATGACCCTGCCTATGAATTACTTTTCTGTTGCTGTGATAAAACACCACAGCCAAAGAAACTTTGAAAGAGTTTATTTTGGCTTCTGGTTCCAGATAGACAAGAGGCCATGGCAGGGGAGCGTGGTAGCAAGTGACAGGCGTGACTGCAGGAGCAGGAAGCTGAGAAATCACATCTTCACCCACAAGCATGAAGCAGAAGGTGAACTCAAAGTGGGTGAGGCTATGAACTCTCAAAGCCTGTCCTAGAGGTGTCCTGTCTCTTGCAGGTCTGCACCACCTCCCCAGATACCACTGATAACCTGTTCAAGTAGCTGAGAGTATGGGGGCATTTTTCATTGAAACCATTACATCCCAAGTTACCTATTTTTATACTAGTCAACGTTTGAGATCTTCCGTTATCCTACGTATTTAGTATCTGAGCTCAGTTGGAGTCATGTTGCTGTGTTCTTTTGTGTTCCTTGCCTTTCTGCACTACAATTTGAGCATCTGCTGGTTTAGGATTCCCTTCTGGATTTATAACTGTATTCTTACTGAACAGCATATTTTTTTGACAGCTCTATCCCCAATACAGTGCAAAAAGGAGAAAACAAATCAAACTGTTTAAGATATAAACATACAAAAGTATACTTAAAATTGGTTTTCTTAGTTAGGGTTTCATTGCTGTGAACAGATACCATGACCAAGGAAACTCTTATAAGGACAACATTTAATTAGGGCTGGCTTACTGGTTCAGAGGTTCAGTCCATTATCATCAAGGCAGGAACATGGCAGCATCCAGGCAGGCATGGTGCAGGAGGAGCTGAGAGGTCTACATCTTCATCTGAAGGCTGCTAGTGGAAGACTGGCTTCCAGGCAGCTAGGATGAGGGTCTTAAAGTCCACACCCACAGTGACAAACTTCTTTCAACAAGATCACACCTCCAAATAGCACCACTCCCTGGGCCAAGCATATTTAAACTGCTACATTGGTTAAAACCAAATATATCACCAATGTTCATGAAATAAAACACAAAATTTGCCACAAAGTTAAAAATTACTTAGGGAAAATGTGGAAATTGTTAACGAAAGGGGAAAAATAGAGGAGAGACAATAGAAAAAGGATATAGAAGAATTTTATGATAGGGCAGAGAAAAGAACAAAGAAAAGAAGAGGAAAAACTCCACAGTTTCCCAGGAGTTTGAAAGAAGAACTGAGCTGGGTGGTGGTGGCGCACGCCTTTAATCCCAGCACTTGGGAGGCAGAGGCAGGCGGATTTCTGAGTTTGAGAGTTCGAGGCTAGCCTGGTCTACAGAGTGAATTCCAGGACAGCCAGGGCTACACAGAGAAACGCTGTCTCAAAAAAACAAACAAACAAACAAAAACAAAAAACAAAAAAAAAACCAAAAAAAAAACAAAAAAAAGAAAGAAAGAAGAACTGAATAAATATAAGGGAAATAAAAAAATAGAAGTGAGAGGTTTTTTTATTTTTATTTATTTATTTACTTTTGAGACAGGGTTTCATCTGTGCACCTCTTGCTACCTTGGACTTGCTCTGTAGACCAGGTTGACATTGAATTTAGAGAGCTGCCTGCCTCTGCTTTTGAGTACTGGGATTACAGGAGTGTGATGGTACAGGTTTTTAAAACAATAAGGTAAAGTAAAAAAGTACCGCCAGGCAGTAGTGGTGCACGGCTTTAATCCCAGAACTTGGGAGGCAGAGGCAGGCCAATTTCTGAGTTTGAGGCCAGCCTGGTCTACAGAGTGAGTTCCATGACAGCCAGGGCTACACAGAGAAACGTTGTCTCAAAAAAAACAAAAAAAAAAAGTACTAAAAAGTAAAAAAGTACTTTAGTATTATGTGACTAAAAGTACAGTAGGAAGGGGAGAGAAGTGACAAACAGAGGAAGAATAAAAAGGAAAGAAGATTGCCCAACAATGAAAACATGTGCACACACATCACATGTAAATGTATGATGAGAAATCAACAACACATAGTTTTAAAAATGTAGCAAAGCAAGAGCAATGTCAGAGGGCAGAAGGGAGAGAAAGTGAGAAACGTGTCAGACTGGACAGCTTGGATCTGGGCCTCAGAACATAAGACTGGGTTAAATGCACTGGGTGAATCTGTGGACTCTGGTCTTTCCTATGGTTTATGCTGCTGTTGAGTCTGTATTAGTCAAGTGCCCAATGTCTGTAAGAGCTGTCTGCACTTTAATAGTTTCCCTTTTATGAAACATGGACCTCTTCAGCTCTGCAGTCTGTGAGGTGAACGGCTTCTCTCATCCTCCAATCACGCTCCCTGGGTGGCTAACGGTACAGCTGGGAGTTGTCTTTCGAGTGTGTTGGTGCTGTGGAAGGAGACCACAGTCCTGAGTGTGGTACAGGTGCAGGGACTGTTTCCGTGCTTTCAAGAATGTCTAAGTGTTAATCACAGAGCTGGAGGGATGCTCTTCAGAGTTCTGGGGTCCACAGCAATGCATGACGATGGGTCCTCCTCACCCAACGGGGGGAATCATGTCTTACCAAATCACAACTGGCTCAGAGGCTTCTGAGGGCTGCGGTCTTTCCTTGAGTTCGGAACACCTGTCTTCACCACGGTGTGTTGCTTGCCTTCGGGATGGGACTTCTCCTCTTCATGTTGCAGTTGGGGCTTTGCCAGGCTTTAAATTTTTTTTTTTTTTGCACTTTTCAGCTTTCTGTCTCCACGGTTTTCAATCTCTGAAGCCTTTTCTAAACTTATTTATTTATTTACTTTCCCCAAGATGGGATTTCTCTATGTGTAACATTGGCTGTCCTAGAACTGACTATGTAGACCAGACTGGCCTCGAACTCAGAGATTCACCTGCCTCTGCCTCCAGCGTGCTGGGATTAAAGGTATGCACCCTACCTCACAGCGCTAATCCTTTTTTCTTTTCTTTCCTTTTTTTTTTTTTTTTAAAGTCTATGCTTTCTTGTAATAGGGCTAATGGCTACATATCTGTGAGGCTGAGTCTGTTACCAAAAGTGTACTGTAACGAGGAAGACATAAACCCGGAGGTTATAGCAACTGGAAACACACAGTCGAAACGACCTCATTGGTTTTAATCTTTTCTATTAATCTTGGAGTCCCTAACTGCATTTCTTGTCCATTACTAAGAAATCAAATTTGGGAAGTAACCCAGTTATTCCAACCTTTTTTTTTTCTTTTCCTCATTAGAGTGTCCCTAATTGTCCCTACCTGGAGACTCCATGGACTACTTACTGTCTAGATGGGAAGAAGAGTTGCAGTTTCCACCCGGGACCTGCTGAATCAACACCCACATCTTGATGTGACTCACACAAACTGGAGTGTGACAAACACAGATTTAGAACTTGGCTCATTGTCCACACTCGAACCTGCTCCTCCTCCCTGTACCGGGAGCTGAGATGAGCAGTCTAGCAGTAACAGCTGTGCCAAGAACCAGCTATGCCCCAGGGCACATCCAGACGCTTCTCACCATACCCGAGTCCCACTTGCACAGGAAGATGACCACTAACAATAGGCTGCCCTTAGAACAGGACACAAGGGACATCTTCAGACGTTCAGCAGGGTGAACAAGGTGGGGACAGGAAGGGAGGAAAGCAGTTCCTGTGCTCCCAAACCCATACTTTGTCCAGGTGCCACTGCCCCCCGTTTTAGCAGACAGCTAAAGCATTCAACATTTCTCTAGTTGCGTTTTGTTCCAAACTAGATCATCATTATTTAAAATACCTTTCGGGAATGAGAAAGTTCAAGTCCTCAGGGACTGAATGTGCCTGTTTTCCTAGTCTTTGGGAGTTCTCTACTTTTATGGGGTAGCCATGGTGAAACCGAGTCATCTGAAGACAGGGATGATGCCAAGTAGGGCGTAAGGGAGGCAGCTTCAGAAAACCTGGGTTCAGAAAGGCAGTGATCAGTAAGTACTGGGCACCAACAAACGCTGGCCACCTTCATTCCCAGCTCCACACTTCTCTCAGGACCCTAACTATGTTCTGACAAATTGTTAAAAACTCAGGATTCTAACGAGCACTTTCTGCAGAAAATGTGTTTATCGATAATTACAAGGATACAGTCATTTTCCCAAGCAGTTGCTTTTGAGTTTCAAGTGGCATCACTTAACTTTTTACTTGTGCCAGAATTCACCTCCCCACACATACTATATTCCCTTTTCCTTTCTCTCCCTCTCTCCCCTCCCCTCCCTCTCCTCCCTCCTCCCTCTCTTTAAATAAAAACTAAGTGCTGGGGTCACATTCAAGGGTAAGACCCTTTTTTAAATTAGAGAAACCATAACATTTTCTTAGGGAGTTAAGTATACATCAAATTTTATCTTAAGAAAAGTTTCCCCTCCCCCGTTTTCATATATATACTACCAATATATACCCACCGGTGTGTGTGTGTGTGTGCACGCGTGTGCATGTGTGTTTGTGTGTGTGTACAGGCACGCGAACGCTTGCCATTTTCCTAAACTTCTGACTCAACGTCTGGAGGACAATGATTGATTTTTTTCCACTTCACATAGCTGCCATGGATTGCCGCTCACAAGGATGGGCCTGTTTATTCACTTCAGGCATCGCTGGTAGAGCGCTAGAGTAAACAAACCCCAGGTTCCCGGTGGCCAAGGAAGTGGGCGCCCTCTGTTCACCCCCAGGAACAGGAAAGGTGGGGCCAGGTTGTGGCCACCGCGTGCAGAGACTGCTTTTCTCAGCCACGGGACGCGCGACGTTAGCCAGGGAGAAGCCAGAAGCGCCATTGTGATGCAGCGGGATGGGTGGAGCCATCAAGTCTCAATTTAGATCCCTCTGCTTTTAGGCGCGCCCATTTCAGATTGCTAAACCCTGGTGTGAAGCGGGACAGGCCAGGGCAGGAGGTGGCCAGCCACACCCCGCAGGGCGCGCACTTGGCGGGCTGCAGACCCCACGGCAGACGCCGAGATGCGCAGTCGGAGGCTCCTGAGCGCTGCCCACCTTCTCTGCGTGTGCGCGGTCGCGCTGGCCGACCCCGGGTAGGAGCGCGGGCTGGAGGGAGCCCGTGCAGGGAGTGCGCGGCGTGCCGGGCTCACCAGGGGGCTTTCTTTTGGGTCCTTTTGCTGCGACAACTTTCCAAAGAACGTCGTTCTAGCTGTAGTACACGCTGCTCTGCCTTTTGCCTCGCAACTTGTTGCTCCTCAATAATATACCTCTTTTTAGGGAGACTTTTTTTTTTTTTCTTTCTAAACTGGATATTTCTACTGGGACACTGTCAGTATGACTGAGGTGACTGGAGTATGTTGAGAATGCTATATCAGAGACTGTAGGAAGATTAACAAAAATTAGACTGTATGAAGTGGCCCATTAAGTGTTTTTTTTTTTTTTTAATTTAGCAAAGAGGTATTATTTGTGTGTGTGTGTGTGTGTTCATTTGTAGCTCAGGCTGAGTGTCCCTGGGCAGTCCTACTTCAGTTTTGAGTGGTAGGTGGCTAAGCGCACATTACCTTACCACATCTGGCCTCCTTGGGAGACTTTCATGCTTCCTAACCTGGAGGTTTAATTGCTGGTATTTATTTTCGGGTGGTAATTTCAATTAATGGGATCAGTTAGATGATCCCCCCCCCTCCCTTGTGTGTATAGTTAAATAGGAAGATTTGAGCAGGCTGAATCATATATAAATCTAGGGGTGTGTGTACACACGAGCGTGCTTCCTAAGAAACTAGTGTGGAGATGATGTCATCTCTAATGAGGCTTGGAGACTTGAATTTTGCAGTGACTTCTGCATGCCTTATTTTCCCTTTTGACCCCGTGCATTTGAACTGTTTGAGGAATTATGGCTTCTGTAGCATTCTATGGCCTTACTAAACAGCAGAGGCACTATGTTCACTGTAACTACTGTAGTGGGGCAGTGCAGAGATCCCCCCTCTTTCAGAGAGTGAGGACAGTGGGGTGTGTGTGCAAATAAGAGACTTTGCTTTTCTTTTGTTGGCAACTTATTAGGTCCCGCTTTCTGGTGACAGCCCCAGGGATCATCAGACCCGGAGCAAATATGACTATTGGGGTGGAGCTCCTGCAAAATAGCCCCCCACAGGTCCTTGTAAAGGCTCAGGTGATCAAGATATCTTCCAACAAGTTGAAGGCCGTGCTGGAAGCAGAAGGAATCTTCGCAAGAGGTAAGATAAGTTGCACTGTCTAACGGCCATACTTGGAGTATGGTAATTGAACCATGGGCTAGGCAATACAACAGAGGCACACAAACAAGTCTGCAGTGATTTCCACAGGGCCCCTTTGTAAATTTGCCGTGACTTCCACAGGGCCTGTTTGATTCCAACACCTGTGAAGTCTGAAATTGTCCCTGCGTGTTCCACCAAGTAGACAAAAAGCCAGGTTCCTTCCATGTGTGGCTGCATTACATAAGATTGCTGGGGAAGAACATTGTGGGCCTGGCCTGGAAACACTGCTTCCCGCCATTGCTCATATACGGATGGCAAGGAGGCTGGGAAATGCAGGCGAGTGTTTGCCCAGAGAATGAGCAGAGATAGATGCATGCCTCACAGAACATGGTTATTGTGTGCAGTGGATTTTATTAAGTAAGTCCGTGGGAAGGAAAGAAGTGACACAATTCAGTTTTATAGAACAATAACAAACCACAAACAAGCAAACAAACAAACAAACAAACTCCAATAGCTCAGAAGTGATGTGAGTGTGGGAGGAGGAAGGGAGCCATGTGAAGAAGTGTCAGCCAATTATAGAACCAGCATCTTTTGTTTCAAGCTTGAGTTCTAATCTGGCCCAGTAGTATCTTTTTCTTTCTTCCTTCCTTCCTTCCTTCCTTTCTTTCTTTCTTTCTTTCTTTCTTTCTTTCTTTCTTTCTTTCATTAAGGGAAATTAAACCTAGGGATTATTGATACATAAAATATCTTTTTTCCACTAAAATGGATATATATTCTGCTTTTTTCCTGATTACAAGAGCACTTATATATCCAATATGTGCAACTTGTTAAGCATTGTCAATAAAAGCCCCCTCCCCCAAATCAACTATAACTAAACGTGTGTTTATACCAGAAACTGAGGTGTAAATTTCTCTACTGTTGAGCTATTTGTTCATTTGTTTATTTATTTATTTTTAAATTATGTAAGAGCACATATTGCAGGATGGATGGGATTTCACAGTAATTCCTTATATAAAAATTTGTTCTTTACCAGCATAGAAAAAAAAAGAAAGATATCAAGTGAGATAGAAGTTTATGTATATCTGTGACATCTTTCTCTACAGGAAGTTGATGGCTGGGTAGGGAAATTTAAACTGGGAATCTGGACAAGGGTTATGTGTGCTCTGGCTGTCTGTTTTTCACTATGGGGGCAAAGTCAGGGAGAGGGATTACTTCCCTGGGGAGGAAATAGATTGATTCTTAATGTCAGGGCTGTTTTGTGTGTGTGTGTGTGTGTGTGTGTATGCACATGTACACATGAATGTGTGCAGGCCAGAAGACAAGCCATGAGTAATTTGCTTAGAAGCTATCCACCTTATTTTTGAGATAGGATCTCACATAGACCTGGAACTTGCCGATGACTTTGACTTCTAGAACTATTGTGATTCTAAGGGAGTCCCCTAACTGTTCTGGGCATCAGATTCCTCATCAGCACAATGGAAGTAATGTAAATATCCATCTTGTGCAGTTATCAAGTTAAAATCTTCTAGGATGTAGTCCTACTAGGCATCTGTTATGCAATAGCTGCTGACATTCGTAGCACTAGCCATAAAGAAGCAGATACAGAAGGCATATCCTTTCATACATGGGGACAGACCTTACCTTGAATTGTTGGACTTTCATTTCTGAAAATGAGCAAGCCCTTGTTTGTGGTAGTAGCTAAAGAAACACTGGAGTGAGTGTCAAATAATACGTAAGCAATTTCAATTCTGTTATTTATTCAACCAGAATTTATGATTTTGACGGCAGTTTTCCTGGAATGTACAGGTTCAGAAGAACATGAATGATTTTGACAAATAGTTGGGCTTTGCTTGGACAGTTACACATTCGTATTTTGCTTTTTAGATTTATTTATATTTTATTTTATTTTACGGACATAAATATTTGCCTGCATGTTTATATGCATGCCATATATGAGCAGTGCCTAAGGGGACCAGAAGAGGGCGTCAGATCCCTTAGAACTGGTGTTGAAGACTGGTGTGATTGATCCTGTGGTTGCTGGGAATTGAACCAAGGTCCTCTGGAAGCTAGTTCTCTTAACTGCTGAGCCATCTCTCTAAGTCCACACTCTTATTTTAGAATTCTGCTCCTTCCCACACATTTCTTTATCATTTTCCTCTATAATAAATAGCAACTGTGTTAGGGTTGCATATTATTATGGCTTGGTTTTAATATTGTTAGATTTTTGTCGTTAACTTTGGAGGCATACTCCCCTATATGTTCAAGGTTATATTGGAAGACCTGGCCTGGATTGGAATGGATCTCTAAAAAGGAAAGTGGGAAAATACTGCTGTTCCCACTGGGAGTCTCTTGATTCTGTTGACGTATCAGGCCACTGAAACTCACATTGCTAGAAGCGCTCTCCCACTTTGAAAGGAGAGTCTTACTGTACAGTCGGAGGCTGTTAATTGTTCTCTGAGCAGATGCTTCCTGTAATGTTAGGGCTTGAGGATGAAGGCATTCCTGACTTCTCCTCACATCCTTTGCTTTATCTGACTTCTGCAGTACTGACAGTATGCTGACGAATGAGACTTCTGCAGAGCCTGAATCTTTATGGAATTTGTGTTTTATATTTTCCCATCCCATAAGTTCAAACAAGTTCATTTTCACTCTGATTAGTTCATCAATTCCCTCTCGAAAAGATTGGCTTTAATAGAGAGTTATCATCTAGCAGAGATAAGAAGAGGGATGCTTTTGAATGATTAGAAAACTCCCTGGGCCAGGCTTGTGTGCCACAGCGTAAGAATGTGTTTCTAGCTTAATTTGCATTAGAAATACTATCGCTACTATTATTAGCATTCAGATTACACAGTTTGCTTAATTTAAAAAATTTTTTGGTGGGCCTTATTTTAATTTAATTTCTATGTGTGTTTGTGTGTGTGTGCTTACCTCTTGGAGAGTGAGTAGAATCTGTTGATTTTATTTTTTAAGAAGGAAAGCCCTGGGACTGGAGAATGGCTCAGCAGTCAGGAGCGCTTGCTGCCATTGCAGAAAACCTGAGTTCTGTTCCCAGCACCACTCACCCTGGGCAGCTCAGAACCATCTCTACTTCTAGTTCCAGGGCATCCTGTACCCTCTTCTGGACTCTGTGGGCATGTGCATGCATGCAGTGCACATACACAGACTCAGGCACACACATATAAAATAAAAATACTTTTTTAAAAATTAAAAATGTCTCCTCTAATCGTTTTCCCTTTCTGAGTATGGAAGATTTTTTATTTTCCATCATTGTAAGGAAGGGGAATTTTCAGTATTTGAGGTATTAGCTGAAAAATGAAAAAAAAAATCACCCAGCTCTGTGAGGATGGTACCTTTGGTGGAGACAATGCTGTCAAATATAACTTTCATCTGTGTAGATCAAGATCTGTTCCACAGATTTTGTGAAAGTACACTAATTAGTGTTTTGTGTAGGAGGATCCCAGGGCAGGTTCGTACAGGCAATTCGGCATGAAGAACTTAGTCTAAGCCTGTAGTTACATGGGAATTGCTTCTAAATGATGTAGGCTCTTCATTCATACATCTTTGCCATTATGTGGGATAGATTGTAGGGGTGGATGCTGGGGGTGGAGGACCACATCAGGTGCTGGCCATTCCATTTAATGTTTCTTTGGCTGTGGGACATGAATACTACTGTAGGCTTTAGTTTCATTATCTGATAATGACTTCTGACTTTAGGTGATTGATTATATACTTATTGGATTAAATGAAGGAAGAATCTATCTATCTATCTATCTATCTATCTATCTATCTATCTATCTATCTATCTGAGACAGAGTTTCTCTGTGTAGCTCTTACTGTCCCGGAACTTTCTCTGTAGACTAGGCTAACCTCAAACTAAGATATCTGCCTACCTCTGCCTTCCGAGTGCTGGGATTAAAGACACGGACCCCCACGGCCAGGCTAAGAAATATTTAAAGCACTTAGCAGGAACTGTTTGAGAAAGTATTAGCTACTGTTATTAGAGGACAGTACCAATAACTCATCTCCTACCGAGATGACCCTGAAGCTGAAATGATAAAGAAGGCATGTGTGCCATTAAGAGGCAATGAGAGGGCATTTAGCACGTTAAGCTAAATAGCTGTTTGTTTCTAATGCTGAGGACACTGTTTAACTTCTACAAATGGACGAAATAGGCATTCAGAAATAAGAGGAAACATCCAGTTTCCCTGACAAATAAGTCAGGTAGTGAGTAGTTCTGTCTGGGTTGCAGAGACTGGAGGTATACTGTACTTATCTTTCTCTAGAGCAGTGGTTCTCAACTGTCCTGATGCTTTGACCTTTTAGTACAGTTCCTCATGTTGTGGTGACCCCCAACCATAAAATTATTCTCCTTGCTACTTCATAACTGTATTTTTGCTACTGTTATTAATCATAATCTAAATATTGGTGTTTCCTGATAGTCTTAGGCGACCCATGTTAAAGGGTCCTTTGACCCTCAAAGGGGTTGAGACTCACAGGTTGTGAGCCACTGCTCTAAATCATCTTCAGATTTGCTTGCAGTAGATTAGACTTGCATTTTACAAGAACTCATGTGGACCTAAAGAGTTGCAAATTGAGTTAGGCCAGGTAATACACACCTGTAATCTCAGCACTTAAAAGGCTGAAACAGAAAGATGGAGTTTGAGGCCAGCCTGGGCTACATAACAAGACTCTGTCCCCAAATGAAACAAAACGGACAATAACAACAATAACAAAAGAATTGTAAGTTCTCTGAACTTAGTTATGATCACTGTAGAGTTTTGGACTTGGAAGAGGACATCAGAGTTAAGTCAATTCAGTGACCTAATTTGTGGCTGAGGAGAGACCTGGTGTCTGGGGCCCTGCCTAAATTCAAATTGCTTAATTCTGGCAAAGCTGGAAATGGATCCTACTTCTCCAAATAGTGCAATGCTCTTCTCTCTGTCCTCTAGAAAACTCTCACGACATGTGCATAAGCTATGTCTAAGACCTAAAGTATACTT